ACTCGAGCTAAGATGTGAAAGACGATCCTCTCAATTGAATTGATCTGGTCTCATGTGACATGTTCGGCTTTGTCTTTGCGTGGCTCACAGATAACTTTGAGAACACCAAGGACAAGTCTTAGATTGCCAGATCATGACGGACGCGCGCACAACAGCCAAGCTATACCAGAAGTAGGGCACAAGCGAGGAATATGACGTAGTATTGGAGAAGAAAAATAAACTTTTTAGATAGCCAGATCTAAGAGGACGCGCGCTCATAAGCCAAGCAATACAAGGGGTACGGCAATAGCAATGATTACCACGTTATATTGGAAAAGAAAACAAAAACAAACTCGGGCCATAGCAAAAAGGAATTTACCAACAGACCAATTTAGGCATGTGTGGATTTTTCGGGGGTGAAGATAAAAAATTTTGAGGTGGAAACAATCATATACAAAATAATTGATCATGATGTAATGTAGATGTTTAGCCACTTTTTGGTTTGGAAAAAAAATAAACAGGAATTATTTTTTTTTGTGGAGGACGACTTTGACTTCACAATCTGGTTCAGAGTTATCTTCGGAGTCGGTATCGGGAATCACGATCAGATTCGCACGGAGCCTGGCCTCTTCCTTCTCAACAAGGTGGTGGTAGAAGCGACGGGCACTGTCCATCAACCTGAGACCCGTGCCAAAGTGTATGCCCCAGCGCTCCATGTCATGCGCGTTGAAGGCATCGGGAAAGAGGAATTGGTAGAAATTGAAGATGTTGTTCTCTTCGAAAGTTTCAGTGACATGGTCAACTTCATTTTCAGGGACGCCGGCGAAAGTAATGAAGTCATCAATCGTAGAGAAGTTCTCCAAGCGACGAGCCTCGGCGATTTTAACCTCAAGGTGCATACCCTGCATCTGTGCATAACCCCAGGGAGTAGTGGGCGCCTCGGTGGGGGTGTTTGCGGGCTTGTTGCGCTTAGCCGAGAATACAGGTGCCGTATGAAGCATCGAACACTTGATGCTTTCCCACTTGAAACCGGCGATCTTGGTTGGGGGTATGTCAAGAGTCACACCAGCGGTTCCAATGGCCTACGAAAGGAAAACATGATAAACAAATGATAAACAACACATTAGCATTCCATCATAAAGTGGAAACAGGAACAAGGACTGAAATGAAAGACCCATGACATACCAACAATTTGGCCCACTCGATCATATGCTCGAAAGAGAGATTCATGATCAAGGTGTTGTCTTGGGTGTTAACAACACGATAACCTTCAGCCGCGCTGTTGCCCTTTTTCTCGTGGTGGCGGACCAGCTCATTTAGGACGAGTTTGCGTTTGGGCACCGGGTCGGAGTGGGCAAGTTCATCCTCACAAGTAGTTCGGCCCTCGTTGACCGCATTGGAGGCTGCCAATACAGCATGGGCCAACAAACGTTCCTAAAGATAGACATATAATCAGCAAAAGACATTCTAAGTGAAAGAAGGTGGATACTTACCCCAAGAACTACCGCGGCGGCTTTCGCGGGATGATCCATCGTGATTATGATGCCTGAATCGTGAAGTTGGTTCTCGCTAACAGCTTTGAAGAACTCTTTGAGATGGGCATTGAGGGTGACCACACAGCCTTTACCTTTTCCAAAGGACGAGTGGTTGAAAATGTAGACACCAACGGATAGCTGTTTGTTTGCGTTGGCTGTTTTGAATAACGCACTCATACCGCCGTTTGCATCATTACAAATCTTGTCGGCGATGCTCCATAAGTGTAATTTTAATTGGGCCAGCAAAGAATTTGAGATGTCAAACTGCTGCTTGGTGATTGGGAACTTATGAGCAATCCACTTGGTCTTGTGATTGGCCTTGACCGGACCAGTGGTGGCTTCCGGCGTATACAAACTGAATTGGACCGTCAGATCATGAAGGTTCTGCGTAGTGCCTCCTGGCAAAGGCACTAAACAAGGTGAGTCAGGACAGTTTTCAAACCATTGGATTGAAAGACGACTCACCAGCTTGCTTATCCATATTTGTGGCAGTTACTATGATGGAAGATAAGTCAGCGCAGGTCCCAAAAGGAATGTGGAAAGATCGCTTACGAGTTTCTTCAGCCGAAGCCTCATGGCTGAAGTCAAACTGGACAGACAAGTCAGGAGATCCTATACCGGACGAGGTATTGCTTCCGTCCAGATTGGGTTCAATCAGTTTGCCAACATTGAGGACATCTTGTAATCGAGCTCTCTTCGGCTTCTCGGCATTCACAGGTCCCGGTACGTTGGAATCAGGGGAAACAGATTGGTTCGGACTACAAATTAAAACGAGTTGAAACAGTCAATATGACCATTCCCACATTGCCAAAAGAAACTAAAAAGAACAAACACTTCATTGGAAGCAGTCGGATTTTGGGATAGAGATCCGAGGGACTTGCTGTTGGACTTGGAAAGGGTTCTTTTTGGCATTTTTAGAAAGCAATATAAGACAGAGTTGTGATGATTGGTGGATAGTAAAAAGCGGAAATAATTGATTGTGAATTCTTTGACAAAGGCTGAAGAAAGATGGAAAGAGGTGTCCGAATTATAAAAGAAGACTGAATCGTGTCCGCCGTCGATTTGAAAGATGCCACTACCGCCGGCCATCGAGATCCTTCTCATTGGGAAAAGTCGTACGATACGAATTTGTCAAACTTCATGAAGGTTGTTGAGGAGCGGCGAGTTAGTGCAAGTCGCAGTTGGCAGATCCTCGATCGAGATAAGTTACTTGACAGCCCGTCCCTTTTTTTTTGGCCCGATACTGCGCGGCGCACGGGCCAGGTGATGATTTTTCGATTTCTGTGATTTCAACCTTTTTGAAACCTACTGTACTCAAATTCTCAAAACCTTGTCACATATTCCTTGATTATCATTTGTTCAACTTCATCACGCAACTTCAACTCTCTCTATGAAGATCATACAACAATAATTCAATTCAATTTCAAAATCAAATTTCAACTTGATTAAAATTTAAAAGTGCAGAGCGTGAATCTTTACACCATGTGAGTCTGTTTCACATCCTTCCGTCACCCTCCTCCGTCCGCTTTGAGAGACTTGATCCATCCAACTCTCCAAATCTTCAGCTCATGTACCGCGATTTTTGGCCCGGATACGTCATCAAGAACCCGACGCCAAGCACACGGGTCCAGCCGGTGGGAAGATTGGGGGGTGAGCACATCACAAAATCAAATGGCATGTTGTGAAGGGTTAAGGGAGGGTGATCAAATACCTGCTCAGCTCTACAGATACCACAATGAACAAGTACCATAAACTAAACCCACTAAATCCCTACATGAGCCATGCTTGCACTTGCACAAAGGTGTGAAACATATTTCTTTTTAAAGAAAGAAGAATACACAGAGAACATCTTGAAATCTAAAGACAATGAGAAATCCTTTGCTCCAACTAAACAACTGATTTTCTAAGGTCTCTTTACTATAATTGGTTTAGATATCATGTTTTTATGCAGGAAATCTATGATGCACTTTTACAAAAAATGCTTGTTGTTCCTTGAATGAAATAAAATACAATACAGAAATCACAAAGAAACAAAACACAAACACAAGCATCATCACCAGCTCTATAGTAAAAAAAGTCTTAACTGGAGTACAAGACACACAATCAAAGAAAATGAGATTTTGAACCATAACAGAACTTCCAAGATAATCACTACTTAACACATTAGTGCAATCAAACCTGTACCAGCACCAGCTGCAGAGTTGCAACAGAACCAAAGATTTGGAGGGTTCCTCAGATGGTAGAAAGTACTTGGTTGGTCCTTAGAGTTAACATATACATGACTTCTTATGATCTTGCCTCTGAGGGTTGGTATTCCAGATGAACATTGAGAGTGCAATAGACTCCCTCAAAACCCAAAACTATAGGCTTTACAGGTGTATGGTTTGAGAGGTGTATGGTTTCAGAGGATCTCCTTCATATTATAACTCAGAGATCAAGCTTTGATATTTCAAGTATAGTTCAAAAGGAAGACAAAAAAACATCTCTTTCTTTTTTCTTATGCAGAACAACAGTAGTTGTAAAGCTAGTGTAGTTGATTTGTATCAAACTAGTCAGATACTGAAATCTAATCTAAAGAGAATATATGAATCAATCAAACATGTTTGCTAGTAGCACAAACATCAGCTTCCAAAAGACTTTACTTGGGATGAGATCTTTTGGAAGGCATTTTGAGACACATTTTGCTGAAAGATACACAAGGATGTGATTTTTGGTTCAAGAAAATTCAAAGTGGGGAAATTCTGGGTGATGGGTGATGGGTGATGGATCAATTTCTTTGTAAAGACCTGTAGGTCTATGGGAAATTGGAATAGTGTGAGGTATGGGGGTTTTAGGAGTTGATGGACTCAAATTTCTATGGGTTAGCCAGAAGTATGGGATTAAAGGAGTATGGGTTTTGAGGGAATCAACTGTATGTTTCTTTAGTAGACAATTTAATTCCAGCTGAGGAACTCTTATTAAAGCTTATATAGCTCAAGATTGTGATATTTACTTCTCAGATGACTATGTATTTCATACCTCTTGAAATTTCTTGCAAGACTTTCAAAAAGATAAATTCAACAATAAAGGTTATTATCATGATCATGTGGATTTAACTTTCTATGGATGAGATTTTATACAAAGCTGTTATTAATAGTTTATCTTTCCATCTAAACTATCACTCTTCTCACAAGATGTTATGGCCAGGGATCCAAATGGATTGAATCTGATATCTAGTTCATTTAATTGTTACACTTTCTCTTGATGAATGCTTTGTTTTTTGGTATTTAAATCATGACAAGATCAAATTGATTCAAATCATAGAATGAATTTGGGAAAAAATCAAGCATGTTAAATGAGTTAAAAGTTTGAGTGATCTGCAGACCTATCATTTCTCATTACAGAAATCAAGGAAAAAATATTACTTCCAAACACATTCAGAATCCATTTCAAAAAGAAGAATTTTCAAAATAAAAAATAAAGATTAAGATGTAATCATTTGAATACCTATACAGGTAGACGTGTAGAAGATACTGTGGGAAGAGGAATAGGTCTAGCCAATTTTGATTGAGCAAAATGAATTAATTCCATATATATTCCATCAATAGGTATTTTACTTGTACCAGTATACCTATAATGATTAAGCATATTAAGCCAAAGTTGTGCACTAAGAACAAAAGGTAACCTTAAGAATGAATCATCTTGTGGTTGAGTTTTAGATACTGGAAGATGTCTTTCAATCCAATTTGGAATATAATCAACTTCATAACCTTTAAAGATTGATCTTGAATGATTGATTGTAAAGTATAATAAAAGTTTTTCAATAATTGATTCATGATTTGGTTGATCATCTAATTTAATCCAAGTTTTATTCATTCTTATCTGATCAAAACTCATCAAACTTCTTGCCAAGATCATCATGAATTTTAAATCAGTTGCAATGACTGAAATATCAACTAAATTAACTTTATATTTGCAAAAGAATGATAAGAGTTGCATTGATATAGTTACTGAAGAACTTCCTTGAATTGAAAATATATTCTTAAGGATTTGTTGCCATTTATGATTCATGTCAGATGGGAATAAGTTTTTCCAATTGCTTTGATCACTAATCCCACCATGATGACTAAGTAGATGGATTCCATCCATCAAGAAATACAGCTCATGATCCTTATCCATGGTTTTTACCATTTGAGAAAACTCTGGGGTAACACTCAATTCTCTGATCAGCTCAACATTTAAATCAGCAGAGCTCCAGTTCAACAACCTATCCCAATGTTCTGCTGTACCAAGACTTGTGGGATCCCATTTGAGGTTTTTTATCATTTGTACCGCTTGACGACCATTATTCAGTTTTCTCAATGCTTCATGTTCAACAAATTGAAGGGTAAGATATGTAGAGATAGCTGCACCGAGAAAATTTGCGTATTCCAATGATTCTACTCCCCATAGATTCTCTTCTGAAGTGAAAACATGTTGAATTTGAGAACGTAACCACTGGGGTGGATCCCATGTGTTATTAATGGTCTGAAGGAGCTCTGGTTTTATTCCAAGTGCCCACATGAAAAGGTCCATGACCCATCGAAGTCGACTCATAAGTAAAGAGAGGTGTACTGTTGGTTTTCCTGATACATTCAAATACCCAGAGTGTAAGAACGAAACAGTGTTGCCTAAGATGAAGATCATATGTTTTTGAACTGAGACAGGAAGTTGAATCATAATCTTTATATAGGCTTTCATGTGAAGTAACATATGACAAGCCATGATCCTAGAGTGTTGACTCGGATTTACCGTCTTATATAATAGGTCTAGTAGAACTAAGAGCTTTGGAAGTTCTGATGTTGAAAAGTTCTCTGGTGTTTCGTAATCATCTATGAGCGCCACTACCACACTTGAAACCACCGCATCTGCTGGTTCATGGGATGGTAAACCATGAAAAAGAGACAGCTGATGATTGAGCTTCTGGACTAGGCGGGTCCTATGATGGTCTACACGATTCCCTTGATGCAAGGGAGAGTTGCTATGAGAGGTAGAATGGTAAAAATTAACGAATAGCAGATTAGAACACTGGGCGAAATGGGATACACTAGGTGAAATCACTCACCTCCGCATTGCTTTTGACAACTCTGTCTCACTGGCAGAGTGTGGTTGAGTAGTTGTCGCACCTGTGTGTAAACCTGATGAATGAGTAATTCAAGTATGGTTCATCCGTCCTCAAAAGTGTTTGTAGATCAAGATAATAATCTCACTCACCTGACACGCCTGTGGCCATTCTTGATTCCAAACGCAAACGCTCTGCAGTCTCGGCTATGGCTAAATTTTGAAGTTGATAGGTGTTGTGACAAAGTGTACAAAGGGTCAGCGGATCTTTCCAAATATGTTTGCCAAATCGAAAAGAAGATGAGTGCTAAGTATTGATGAAAAGCCTACTCTTAGGTCCAGCTCTTTCTGCGGAAACCTGTGGGATAACCTCGTCAGGGATAACTCGGACAGCTTCATGGCTAAAGTACGTCAAGACTATCGTGTTAAAGATTGATTGCTACGCACACTAGATGAGGGAGAGTTACTGTGAAAGACAAAGGGAAAGTCAAAAATACTACGTAGCGCCAGGATACTGAATTGCACAGAATACTTGGTCAAAATGACTCACAGCCGCCTTTGTTTTGACCTTTCTATATCACTGGTGGGGTGAGCTCGGATGGATACCACTGCTGGTGGTCTACTATGCGGACCTGATGAACAAGAAACTCACATCGCATCAAAATCATACCCTGCAAATCGTGGACTTAGAAGCCTTTAACCACACAGGGTCACTGACTTACCAGACGTCTCTCGGGACATTCTTGATTCCATACGCAAGCGCTGCGCGAGCTCAGATATGGCTACATTTTGAGTAGCACGGGCATTTCCAAAAGGAGAAGGGTCAATGACATCGTCTGTCACTGTTTGTAGTAGATAATTAATTGGTTATCAACGTACTCTGGGGTTCAGCTCTTTCTGCGGGAGCCTGTCGGGCATCGACGGTAGATTAAACCCATAAAGTAAGTCAAGGATCAAGATCATAAAGGTACATAATTTTTGCCACGCACACTTGGTCCATTTTCTCTCGCCGGAATCCGAGCATCTACCCGTACTTGGCTTGCGCCTTCTGGGTGTCAAATCACCAACCAACATTCGGGCAATTCCGAAAGTCACTATAGATACAAGCTCATTCATAACTTTTCTCTTCGAGACTTACCAAGACTACGTTTTCCTTCATTTCGAGATAGTAACCCTTCATTGTGAGCGGGCGGTCGTATTGTCATTTGATCTTGCAAGTCAACTACATATTTGGGAAGACAGAACAAAAAACCGTTATAATCGATGACAAAGTAATCATGAAGAGCGGGCTCGTACAGACCAAGATTCTTGATCTGACCTGGAGGCGAGATAGAGGAGATTGAGCTTTTGTCCGGTGCTAGGAGCGGGTCAAGTATAGGTGCTCTAGATGGCCTCGACCTTTGGATCACAGCAAATTTATCTGGTGTGATTTCTTGTAGTCCTTCCTTAGGACTTATGTTATCTTGATTGAGGTTGATCCCAGTCCTATATTGCTCTTCAAGATCATTCGTTTTCCTAGTAGACATTGGAGTTTCGTTTTCGAATTCACCCAATGTTCGCATCGATGACGAGCTGCCAGAGCTCTGTGCCGGCTGTTTTCCTGTACCGGAAGAATGTGCGATGGTATTCGGTCTGGTAGCACCACCCATAGCATACACACTATGGAAAAGTCCGAGTGCCTTGATAAGCAGCACAAATGTCTTGATTATGGTCCACATGAGAACCTTGGCCTGTGTGATCTCTATGAACAAAAGAAAAGCGACCCAAAAACTCAAGTTCAGACTGATTTTTAAGGGTTTTAAGATGAACTGCGAAGAGTGAATAATTGATCGTCGGTCTATGTTTTGATGTGATTTGCTCAAAACCAAGTGAAAAGTGAAAGAAAAACTCAAAATCGTCAGGATGCGAATCACGAACACTCATCATATTTTTTGTCAAGACAAATATCGAAACTTACAATCAATGCTTTCAGAATCTCAAGTGAATGTTCAAATTCAGTATCCAGCATCACATTACGAAACATTCGAATCGTTATGTTCCAAGTTTGCTGCTGGGCATACGGCATTTAGAACTTTCTGAGAGTTTGGCGAAGTAGATCATTCACCTTTCAAGAATTCAAATTCCCCTACACTTCTTTGACAGAAAGTCCTTGGTTCAAGTCGAGTTTGATGTTTATGATGCTGGTTTTCTGACCATGATATGTTTGTATGATCAAGGAGTGTTTTTCACGCAGTCTGGTAAAGGCCAGATAGTGAAACCAATGTCTGATTTGGCCACACTTGCTGGTCGGCAAAAGTTTCGAGATCGTGACGAGTACCTGAAAAACTAGGTATTTCAATCTGACTCAAAGACATCTCAAGGTGTTTTAGGATCATATCACGATTGTACCCGCAGAGTTCCCACTCGAAGGGGTGTAGTGGGCAATTCAATCTCAGAGGTGATTAAAGTCAGCAATCCATTCCCGGCTCTGTGAATGCTGTTTACCGTACAAAGGTTATATCAAGTATCTGACCACCCATACTTATGCCATGGGTGGTCAGAATGGATGCTGGCGTCAGCTGTGGATATCGATAATTGCTATCTGCTTCACCAAACTGTCGACAGTAAATACATACGTTTGTTAGTTTATTTGAGCTTCGCACCGTCAGTCAAGTCTGCTTAGATTGGGATCATCAAGATCTTCAGGTGATTGGGATTGGAAGCCTACTAGTACCATGATGTTATCAAATTACTTCGATTGGGTGTGTTGCATTAGACTGCATAGTCCTAAAAGCATGACATCCACTAAGCAATCAACATTATCTTGCTTTAAGAGTCACGAGGTCCGTATCAAAGACTTGACCAAACCGAATTCTACAATTAGCCCACGTCATGACACAGTCGACTTGATCATACAAATATTTGCACACTATGCGATTTTTCGGTTTGAAACACCGTAACAAAAGTTGAAGATACAAAATTAAATAAACTGAATCTTTCACTAAACAATTCATGGAACCATCACATCTATATCCATAGAGTCAGGTACCGCAGGAATGTCTTCCTCGACTGATAACATTGGCTCATCATCACCTTGATTCATATGTTGATCGACGGCAGAAGGCATCGGTATCTCAGATGACTCGGGGATGACATCCAGCTCTGTACGAAGAGCAAGTCGAGGATCGGGAGTCTGAACGATCTCATCATTTACATCTTGAGGAATTTCTTGATCTCCTTCCATCACTTCTTCACCTTTCTCTTGCCTTTGTTGAAGGTTTTTACGCTCTTGGGCAGCATTCTCCAAGTTCTGTTGAGTGGTGTTGAGTTGAGTTTTCTTTGATTCAAGTTCAATGGTAAGTTTCTTGAGGGCTTCCTCGAATCGTTTCCTCAATATTACATTGGCAGCCTTTGCAATTTCACCTCTCTTCCGATTGATGGCAGCCTCTAGATCCTTCAACTCGCCCTGGAGTAATCTAACCCGTTGCTTGTCTTGTATCGTCTGACTCGATTCTTCCTCATCATCATCATCGTCCTCATCTTCATCATCGTCATCGTCATCATCCCCATTTCCAAAAAGATCCTCACTATCATCATCTTCTTCGTCTCCATCTTCAGGCCCTGTCAATCCTGCGGCTGCCCGTTCCTCTGCGGCAGCACCTTCCATCAATCCAGCTTCAATCTCAGCTGCAAGATCGCTATCAATACTACCTTCATCGTCATCTTCTTCGTATCCAACAGTTCCGGGGTCTTCCCCAAATTCGTCAAAGTCTGGGGCTGGTGTCTGCCCACCGAATGATTCACCCGCGGGCGTTTCCGCAGTAGTATGAGTCTGTGAGTCCATGGGCGCATCCGATCTCGAAACCGAGTCTGCTACACTAGTGGCGCGTTCGGTCTGATGAGGAAGATGACTAGGGCTACGTTTACTTTGACTGATACTAGGTCGAGCTTTATTGTATACGACTTTAGAGCTCGGTAGGTTACCGTCAAGACCTGTAGCTGAGCTTGGAGGTTGATAATCTTCGCCTTCAGAGTCACTCAAATCCCGCACATTGTCTACAATGTCAATGATCACTTGATCAGCTCGACTATCTTCCTCAAGCAGTCGTTCTACCGCTCGTTCGACCGTTTCAATCGTTCGTTTATTGAGTCGTTTACGGAACCGACGTTTTCGAACATGATGGAGTGGTGGAGTGATCCCATGTGGGTAGATAAAGTCTTCGATGTTGAAATTCCCTTGAGAAACGGTTTGTTCGTCTGTGATAGGCACGTCATCCACCTGGATCATCTAGTAGGATGGTGTGTACCACGAATCAAGGTTAACATGAGGTTCGTATGTGTGATGATTTAGATTGAGTTATGAACCTGACAGATATCTGCTACTTTGAAAACATGCTTATTATCAAAAGTCTTTTGACTTTCAATAATGCAAGGTAAATCCACCAATTTCATCCCAAACATCTTCTTTCCAATATTAAAGATTCCTCTTCTAGAATCCTTAAACTTCATAAACACATTCTCAGTATTACAATCAATCTCCTTACGTTTTTCTACTAATTCTCTTAACTTTTCACAATCTGCTCCAGCTGGCATCTTAAGTATAAATTGTTCTTCAAATGCTATTGGATCATCTGGATCTGAATCTAATTCTCGATCATAACCTTGAAGATAAGCTACAATTCCTGATCCACTTTGATTATTTTCTTGATTAGCAATCTTCAGTTTCAATTTAGTGCCAAGTTTAGGTTCGGTTGGAGGAAGTTGAGCTTGAGAGGTTGATCTCATCTTTCGACGTCGTGGTTTGGAGCCGGTATCATTGTATGGTGTACCGAGTTGAGGTCGATCGGAGGTGGATGCGATATATGAGGCATCAGACATGGTGATGGTACAGCTGAAGAAGCAAAACTGCCGCGCGTCGCTTCTCTAGAGTCTGGAGGCGTCTTTGTCATGAATGTCACACATAAAGGACACTCCTGTGACACGCATCTTGTCATACCCTTCATGTCACACAAACTATGGAATCTTAGACTACGGCAACATAAGAACAAGGATCAAGTCTTGTCTTCAGACCAATTGCGATCAAAGCATCATCTATATAGGCTTGAGGAATGGCTATCACAACTATTTCCCTCATCATGTACGAACCATTTCAGTGGTTAGCTGTATGTCGAGAAATAAGACGCTTTCTTAAATCCTTCCAATCATTGATTTTGGACTTCTTGATCAACCCTCAATTTTGTTTTGTTTATGTACTCTCAATGACTTGTTTCATGCTCAGACGTGGCAGCTACATATTCAATTTGAACGTAATGATGTTGATTTCACTTTTCCAAAAAGAAACATTGAAAAATACAACTTTGCTAAACATGGAAGCTCAGCTCACAAATTTTATAACATTTATGCTTCCCGCGCTAAGAAAAAACGAAGATTTTAAACACAAGAGGAAAAACTATTTATGATATAGCTAATATCTTTCTACACCAAAGCCCATCACTCACTCGTGCGACAATGTTGCAGTTATCGTTCAATTTGACGGAAAGAGATGACGTCTTCAAAGATACTTAAAAGTTTTCTACGTTTTCGAAAACTGGGTTCACGGTAAAACGAAACAAATGCGTAACATAAGGTTTCTCTTTCAGTGTGATTGCTAGATAGACAAGCAGAAGATTCAAAAATCAAAGACCGGCTTACGCATATGACGTCTACCAATGATAGTGATCCCCTTCAATTTGTTTTTGGCTAAAGTCGTCTTGATCAGCCCCTTTGCGGTTTTTGCAGTTTTGATTCCAGGTTTTCCAATAGCTTTGATCGCATTGTGAGCAGCGGCGGGGATTGCCGGAGTAGCATTAGCTGGTGCAGCTGGGGGCGCAATGGCCGGTGGAGCAGGAGGCGCATTAGCAGGTGGAGCAGGTGGAGCATTAGCAGGTGGAGCAGGGAGCGCTTTGGCTGGAGCAGGTGGAGCAGGTGGTGGTGGAGCAGGCGCATTGGCTGGAGCTGGTGGAGCTGGTAGTGCTGGTAGTGCTGGTGGTGCATTGGCTGGAGCTGGTGGAGCTGGTGGTGCATTTGCTGGTGGTGGAGCAGGCGCATTAGCTGGTGGAGCAACAGTCGCATTGGCTGGAGCTGGTGGTGGAGCAGTCACATTGGCCGGTGCGGCAGCCGTGGCATTAGCTGGTGCGGCAGCTGTGGCATTGGCCAGAGTAGCAGCGGTCGCATTAGCCGATGCGGCAGCCGTGACATTGGCTGCAGTATCGACGGTCGCATTAGCTGGTGCGGCAGCCGTGACATTGGCTGGAGCAACAGCTACATTAGCTGGTGCGGCAGCCGTGACATTAGCTGGTGCAACAGTCGCATTGACTGGTGCGGCAGCCGTGACATTGGCTGGAGTATCAGCGGTCGCATTAGCTGGAGCGGCAGCCGTGGCATTGGCCGGAGTAGCAGTCGTGGCGTTAGCTGGTGGAGCGGCTGTGGCATCAGCTGGTGGAGCAGCAGTCGCATTGGCTGGTGGAGCAGCAGTCGCATTAGCTGGTGGAGCAACAGTCGCATTAGCTGGAGCTGGCGGAGGAGCAGGCGCATTAACTGCTGGAGGAGCAGTCGCATTGGCTGGTGCGGCAGCAGTCGCATTAGCTGGTGGAGCAACAGTCGCATTGGCTGGAGCTGGTGGAGGTGCAGGCGCATCAAGTGCTGGAGGAGCAGTCGCATTGGCTGGTGCGGCAGCAGTCGCATTAGCCAGTACGGCAACCGTGACATTGGCTGGAGCTGGAGCAGCAGCAGTCGCATTGGCTGGTGCGGCAGCTGTGGCATTGGCTGCAGTAGCGATCGGGGGAGCAACAGCAGCACCCCCAACAGTGGCCTTATGAGAGTGCTTGCCAGCCTTACGGTGTTTACGGGCCTGCAAAAGTATGCAAGTATAATGAGACGAGAAGCACAACGCTATGCAAGGCCTGAAGCAGAATTCAGAGATACACTCACCAAAGGTAAGTTGATGATGTGACGCTATTGAAAGTGGAATATAAAAGTCAGTCAGTTCAAAACCAACATGTAAAAAACGAAGCAAAAAATAATCACTTTTTGATTTAGACGAGCTTCTGAGGGACCGAAAGCTCGAACATCACGTGGCGAAAAGTCCTTGCTGAGATGTTGAAGCGGCAGAAGTCAATCAATATCATATATTGAAAAAGAGAATAGGAAAATAACCAACTGATGCAGGGAGGGTAAGGCATTTGAAAGGGAAGCCAGAAGCAAAACAACGCAGCTGAACTTCATTTGGATGTACATGGCTATAAAACTCGTCTAAAGCAATTTTTCAAGGTCGAACAAGAGTCGAATATATATATATAAGGATAGAAATGATACGAATGTGGTTCAACGCGGAAGTTGTAAAGTATCAAGTGAACGTAAATTCAATCGCCAGCGATATATGAAAGTGAAGAAAGTGTGATAAGTCGACTTATTTTTCGAAGGACAATGATGAGAGACAAAAGAAATTCGGGTACACCAGAGACCACGGAATATATAGCACATCCCCATAATTCTCCATGATTTTATCCGGTGTTTATATGAGCAGACCTTGTGCTCTGATCAACCATCGATGACTCAGGTCGTTGCGAGATCGTGTTGGCCTACATATTCTTGAGACAGCCAACAAGACTTGTAACCGTGATGCGGCGGGTATCCTCTTATGCAAAACCGCACATGTCGAGATATATATGCCGGAAGGCTCAAGGTCAGGATTGTCAGATGTAACAAATATCGATGGATGAGCTTCGGTGATATCCGCTTTTGGCGGTCTCTGTGGAGCCCTGCGTGATCAACGAGCAATAATTGCGCATCATCAACACGCGGTTTGCACGATTGGTCGTATAGACCCTTCCAAATCCAAATCAACCGTCCAACTTCAATTGGGTCTCAAAATTTAACGAGATTGCAACTTGATGTGCATGATGAGTCTGTAGACTGTGATGAAGCCAGATGAAGGTGGATGAATGAAGCCTATGAACGCCCCGGACAGAGGCCGGCGCAGTTGACCGGGTCGGGTTTGTAGCCCGTGCGGCCCTTATATCCCTATACCGGGTAATGAACCACCGGTGTCACTTGTGTCCACTTCAGTATCCTCGATCAACCCAACCATTCATCGTCGCTTTTTTATCAACGATCAACAAAACCCTATTTCTCGAACTCGATGCCTCCTACCGATGCTTTCTACGTGCGGTACTACAGTGGTCACATGGGTCGTTACGGTCATGAATTTTTAGAATTTGAATACAGCGATGGCAGGTTGAGATACGCGAATAACTCCAAGTCAGTGGATGAGACTCGATGAAGTAAAAGAAATGAAGTAAAAGGAAATGTTGACGATTGATCTGCTCTTCGATTTTTTAGCTATCGGAATGATAGTTTGATCCGGAAAGAAAGTATGCCCAATGATTTATCGAACCAGCCTGAAGCGTACAGCTAACTTCAAACCCTCTGTCCTCGCTCCTCGATAGTGTGGCTATCACCCATGACAATATCGGAGCTGAAACGTATAGTTGGGGAGAGTGAGATCATCAAGTGAGTTATTTCTTGAATTTTTTGTATCGATTTGCTCGTTGATTGAACCTCGCAGTATGCTAACTGATGTTTATGATGTACTGCGTCAGGGAGGACGACCACAACTGGCCAAAGAAAAATGTCGTTGGAAAGCAAGAGCTCGAGGTGCGACTTGGTGACACCCACATTTCCTTCGAAGTGAGTCTTCTTGGTATCTAACGCATTTTGTCAAGCTTGAATTCAAACTAAATGATGCTTGTCCATTTCGCGTCTTGATACAGACTGCGAAAATCGGTTCTTTAGTGGATATTCAGGGCTCTGATGACCCAGAGGGTCTGAGAGTGTTTTACTACTTGATTCAGGATTTGAGGGCAAGTCCTAAGCGCTTGATCTCACGTCATGATGTGTTTATGCACTTCTATCACATTGTTACTCGGCTTACTCAATCACTCTTGTTTATCATACAGATTTTTGTGTTTTCACTGATTTCATCTCATTTCAAAATCAAACCTGTTAGTTATCTCAATCTTGGCCTCACATGTACAATCGCTGACCTCTTTCGCCTCTTCGCACCTCTCGCGCCTCATCAAAAGACACATTGAGTGATTCCCTAGACTCGTAGCCCCGGAACCTACACCTCAACAGCTATACGGGTTCCCCGCAAATACCTGCAAACTCTGTCCAAACAACGAATTGTACCAAAATTGCAAGTCAGAAAAATGACTTTAACAAAAACCAACGATCAAGCTTACGCGCCAAGGAGACTATGGGAGACAAAAGTTTTGAGAGATCACGAAGCTTCTCCGACAAATGTAATTTGTTTGAACCAATTTATGATTATCATTGATTTTAGGACGAGTTTGACTACGCCCTGTACTGGTTGTCAGTGTAAGCTGTGTTCGTGCTCTCGCCAAAAACGTCCGCGCGAAATGTCGAAGCTACCCCTGACATATCAGCCGATGATTGCCTTGTGTACATATTTTGTCAAGTATAACTTCTGACAAGTCAAGAATTTCTGATCCGAGTTTCCTCTAACCACCACTCAAGTTGATTTTTGCTCCACGCAGCATGTACTGGTCATTCTTTGTGCCTTGATGTGCCTTTGATGTCTAAATTATGTTAAAAATTGAGGCTATCTGCACAGACGTGCCACTGCCATTCTAATGTGACCTTGCACAATGAATCACTTTCTACACAGACATTTTGGTATCACTGCCTCTGCAAGAAGCGATAGCAACGGACCCCATCAGATTTCGAGATACAGATGTTGGCCTGATACACAGCTAAGTTTCAGGAATATGCATAAACACCTGCACTGGTATAGGGGCCTTTAAAAAGCATTCTTAGTGCATTTCATACCCAAGCATATTGCACGCAGGAAAAACCTGGAAAAACCCTAGTGCAATAGCTTCCCTAGTGAGATTTCCTGTTTTTGACCTACTTGATAATCCAAAGAAGTTCATGTAGATGGGCTATGAAAGGTGTACTTCTGCCTTTTCATGATCTAAGGGGAAAGATGGACATTTACAAGTCTGAGACTAGTGATTTCCTCAACAATCAGTAAAGCACCCCGAACAATCAATAACCGAACAACATAATTTCAGTGGTTTGGAGGGGGCTCAGCATGGGTATCATCCATCAGCTCGTGAATTTTCCACACTGTTTCCTACCTTTGCCTCTTTTTATCAAGTCGGTTGTGATCTTTTTTGGTTGGCGCACGCAAGTGCGCACACAAGTGACTTGCTCGGTTGTAATAACTCGGCAGTTTGAGTTATGCTGAGATCCGAACATCAAGGGTTACGCGTGGAGTCATGGACTTGGACAGCCCAGATAAATTGGATCGAATGCCTGTGAATGCACCATATAGCAACGGTATATATATACCTAATAGCATATCCAAAAAGTTTGATTCTTGAAAACCTTCTGCATATTATCATGAAAATATCAGCCCGTATCAGCCTCAGGGGACAAGTATATCATGGCTGGTATGATAAAGGGCTTGATGCTGAATATCGCTCGATCGTTGTCCATAGGATGTGGGAATGATAGATTCGAAGGGATTATCATGAAAGGCAAATAAGTACCATATGATACCCGTCGTTATCTACTTGCAGGCCTCTACTCCTTTGCCCCACCTCGAAAGACTCGCCGTTCACCTACAATTCGCAACTCACTAAGCTGTGTCGCAAGACTCGGTCAGACTCATATCCCACCCTTTTTTTTGGCTCGATGGGTGTTGTTCAGCAACGTTTGATCCTTTATCAAGTCTTTTTTAGAAAACTGCCTTCTTTTTTTGCTTTGTCATCTGCTGAACCCAGTTCACCCTGATCTTCCGGCTGTTGTCCAGACTGTCAAGAACACAGGCATATTGTCAAAGTTTGGTTGTCATAGTATGTAAGACGAACACAGTTGAAGCTTGCAAGTCAAAGTCTAGTAAGGCTTCCTATGAGCTATGCAGTCTTTCCTTTGTGAGTTTTGAATTCAGTAGTCATGAGTCTGATGCTTTATTGCCCTCAGGTCGGCGCCATTCATCTTTCAAACACACAAGGGAACATGAATGAATATAACATGTTTCCTTTTCTTCATCGCCTGCGGCAGTTATATCACAACAGGAATAATGACATCCATGGATAAGCAAGTCTCCGTTACCCGTAGAACTGATGATCGTCGAGTAGACGGGGATCCTCAGCAAGCAATGGTTGAGTCTTAGGAATTGAAGTCAAGCTCTGAATTGAAGTTCAGTTCTTTCAAACTTCGCGTTGTGCAATCAAATATCCTGAACGCGCTTCCATTCAACCACTTTGCTTTTCAAGCGTCGACTTTTCACATATAATTTTTTGCTTTTCAGATCTCTACTCTTTCCATTAAGCATTCCGATTATCGGCTATTGCTTTCCTCGAGTTCTCCATAGTGCATTTTCTTCTCTGACTCTTATACTCTTGGGAATTTTAGTCGCGAAGACTCAATCGACCGGTGCTTTTGATCTACCCAAGTTAATTTTCTTCCTCATCTTTATCTCTTGAAAGTCCAACTCAGATCAACGCACCTCACCCACCACTTAGTTTTGTCTTCTCCATCTATCAAAGCATCCTTCAATAATCTTATCCCTGCCTGCACTCTTGATTCTCGTCGACTGAAAGTCAATTTCACCATCTCGCGATGAAGCCTTCACTCCTTGCCCTTTCTATGGGCCTATCACCACTTCTCACAACAGTCTTTACACTCGACCCATCAGCCTCACTGGTCTGTACACCACAATTCTGCCAGAATGGTACCAACTCGCTGGCTGCTGGCGCTACAGTCAACGACGTTACACTCCTTAAATTATTACCAGGCACCTACTCTACCAACAACAACACGCTCTCTACCTTAGCGGGTCCTTTCACTCTTCCAACTCTCTCATCTGCTAGCGCGGCCCCGGGTTTCACCATATCTCGCTCTGGTGACTCCTTTGTAGTCAATCAGTCAGAAAGTTTGATCAGTTACACGGATGCCCTTTTCAGAGGCACACCTTCTTTATCGAATGCCTCACTCGGTCATCTTCGCTCTTTTCTACTCGCAGAAGGCCTTCAGATGAGTCTACGTGAACCTTCAGTAACGGTTTACGATAGTAGCCCAGATATAACAGAATGGCCATCTACTTCCTCGAGTGGCAATTTTGAGGTCCTTTCCCTCGAATCAACTGCTTGTACACGTGGATGTGGGGTTGGAGGTACATGTAATCCTGATGGTACATGCCTTTGCTCCCCTGGATTCACTGGTTCACGATGTGGTGCGTTGTTTTTTCCCTCACAGATTCCCTTTTCGGTTCATCACTCACCCGGTCGTTTCTCATCTTTTTTCTTTAGATACTTGCGCCGCTGGATTTTACGGTCCCAAATGTCAGCCATGTCCTCAGTGTTCCTCTCAAACTCGCTGTGAAGACGGTATCTCGGGCTCAGGTGTATGTAGTGCGGGTACCATTGGAAGTATCAGCGCTCCGGCTACCTTGTCAAGTGAGTCATTCGAACGCGTTGCTCTTCTGGTTATCATGTGCTTACAAAATAATTCTGAAATTCCCCAACATAGATTGCAATTGCATCAACGGATTCTGTATCAGTAAAATCGGTTGTCTGTGCTCAGCTGGATGGGTAGCCGCTTCCAATGGCACTCTATGTGCAGCTTGTGCCCCCGGATCATTCCAGGATTCATCTGGAAACTGCCGAAGTAAGTCATGAATTTTCAAACGAATTCCTTGGCCTCTCACTCAAAATCACGAACAAAACTGATACTGATCGTTTTCTTTGGTTTCGTAGCATGTGCGCCCGGCTGTCTTTCTTGCTCATCACCCACTGGAATCTGCGATACTTGTGTCCCTGGTTTAAGAGTTTCATCAAAACATCCCGAAACCTGCGAACAAGCACCTTTCAATCTAGTTGGGTCATCACAGCCAGATCAAAATACTTGTCAAGATGGTCGTTTTAACGACAATGGATCATCTTGTTCAACCTGTTCGAGTACTTGCAACACTTGCTTCGGTCCATCTTCAAATGATTGTCTTCAATGTAGTGGCTCACGTGGTTTACTCGTCGTCGGTATAACGGACAAAAAAGATACTCAACGTGGTGCATGCGTTGATGTGGATTCAGCTACAGGCGTTTGTCACTCCGTTTCGGGATTATTCCTATACAACTCCGCTAAAAAGATGTGCGAGCCAGCACCACGTCTCTGCAAGGTCGCCGCTATCCCTGGATTCTCATTCGATGGATCCAATACACCTAATCCTCCTGCTTGCTCGGTTTGCGAGACTGATGCTTTACTACTACCTAATTCACCTGACGGAGCGCGTTGCGTTGGTGTTTGTCCTACTTCCACCTTCGATAATGGAAAAGGAGTTTGTTCTAGCTGTCCAAGTAGCTGTGCTACATGCGCCTTGGGTGATGGGAAGGACCCTATCTGTACTTCGTGTAGCGATGCATCACAAGTTTTAGAAGGTGGAAAATGTGTTGGTACATGTAAAGCTGGAAACTTTGCAAAGAAATTGGAAAACGATGAATCTTTTGCTTTGAAAGGAACGACGGCATGTCTGAACTGTGGATCTTCTTGTGCTACCTGCGCAGGAAATGCTACTTCATGTCTAAGTTGCCCATCGACTCGACCTGCCTATGATCCAACCACTCAGACTTGCTCTTCTTCCTGTGGACGAGGATCTTTTGTCGGAAAGGAAGGCCGTTGCGTTGGATGCGATTCTAGTTGCGCAAGTTGTTCGGGAGGTGGACCTAATAACTGTTTTAGCTGTTCAAACGGGTCAGTTCTACGAGGAGGAAAGTGTACGATTGCACATTGCTCCGATAATCGAGGTTTCTTTGCTCCCTGGGGGATCTGTCTAGAAACTCTGTTTGCCAAATCACGCAACGAAGAAAAAAGTTCAACTCAACCTTTTCCAATTTGGCTCGTCTTGGTCATCTGCGTGGTAGCTTTAATCCTTGTAATCCTTTCTGCATTGATAATCTGGAGAGTCAGGGCGGTCAAGAAACGAGAAGCTCAAACAAATAAATTCGGGAATGAATTTTATACTCGAGCAACGGGCATCAAACTCAAAGAAATGGGATTACGACCCACATCGAAGTCAAGTCAACCTAGCTCTAGTCGATTTCGTCAGGGTAGTGTAGCTTCAATGAATATCGAAAGGCAACCTGACAATTACAACATCAGACGAGTTCTAACTCCAAGTGATCGACCTTTTTCTACATTCTCAGCTACCTCCGATGCACCTGTTAGTTTAGCACCATCATCTTTCAAGATAAAGCGGAAATCAATTCCATCCATGTTACCTGCATCCACGGATCGTGGCTCGGTTTATAGTCAACCAGAAGAGCCACCTTATCTAGGCCCAAGAGTTCAAATCCCTTTGAGAAGTGAGTCTGGTAGCGTCTGGTTCGAGTCAGGGGTCCGCCCACCAAGAAGATCTGAAGATCAATTAGACCTTGACCCAGATTACCACGGGCCATATTGATCTTAGAAGCATTCAGCTATCTCACTCTTTAGTCTTGAGGGTGACTCTATACTTTCCTTCACAAGTAATTTCTTTCTTCTTTTTAAATAGACATCTGTCATGCAGCTTTTTGTTTGAAAACTCACAAAATCAATCTCTTTGAAATTATGTGGTATTTATTTCATTTCTCGATAATCTTGGGTTTAATTTTGATTTTATTTAAGATTTCTGTTTTCATTCTGTTTTACAATTTCAGTATCACCTTTAATATATGTGTATGTATCAGTATCCTTGCAAAAATTAGTATTCAGACAATTAAATGCTTTCTATATTTCCTACATGAGCCGCATATGCCCCTGCTCTTGATCCTTGTCATGGATTGAGTTGTTCTTAACTTGGTAAAATAGATGCGCCCCGTTCAAGAAGCATAAAAGGCCAGGTACCTTGTTCAGCATATTTATTCAAGAAGACTGAAGTTGTAGATGATTTTTCATTTTGACTATCATCATTAAAAGTCATGATGTATGTTGTTATATCATTTGTCACATGCGTTAAAGAATTTAAACAAGCGCAATCCTCTGCGAGTCATACTGTGAGGGTAACTCGAGTCCACTCAACAAAATCACCAATCAGAGACTTAGACCCTGACCATTCTATAGTCTACTTGTTTATTTCTGAAGGCTGAGCTACGCCGGGCCTTCAGTGATCATTGACTGTGGTTAAAAATTCACAAGCTGGATTCAGAGTCATCACCGGGGCACCCGTGCAAATGCATCACGTACACCGTCCATCTCGAATGTGCCTCCAGCGGTAAACTCTGATTCCAAAAAGAAATTGGTCCCAAGTGAATGTGTGTTTCTTTTCTTTCAAATTTATGTTTTTAATAAGAAAAAAGATGAAATAAACATCAAAATATCAAAAGAAATAATTATCAAAAAAAAAACGTTTCAAAATAAAATCAATTTTCTTCAAAACAAAAACAAAACCAACACCCCATGTATTTTCATTTCCTTCAATTCTTGTCTCCCTCTATGAAAAAAAATAAAGAATAAAGAAACAAGGAAATAAACAACCATAACAAACATTTACCAAAAAAACCCTATTCCATATCACTTTCTTTTATCTTCTTTTTTTCTTTTGAAATCAACACGAACGAAATGAATAAAAAAAGTAAGGATGATTCTAAAGAAACCCAACAATAAATTGAGCAAATAGATACTCACTCCTTAACACACAAACACACACTCAACATTCTGCACCAAAGAGAAAAAACACACACCAAAAGATGAAAGAAACCAAAAAATAAGAAAACTTGCAAAATTAAAAGAAAGAGAATCGAAAAAAAACATCATCATCATCACTTATAATACCCATCTTCTTTTTCATCTCTTTAACCACTTTTATATTTTTTTTTTCAATTAGACACCCTTGCCTTCCACTTTTCTCTACGAGACACGACGAATGAAACCAAAGAAAAAAAGAAAATCATAAAAAAGGAAGAAGAGAACTAAATAAGAATAAGATTTAATCAAAATGAAAAACGCATTAAATATATCAAAAGTTATCCACGAGGAACAGTTTCATCTAAACTTTTATGACCGGCTAATTCATTTAATACACTCGAATCGATCGGAATAACAGATTTTCGACTATTGTGGTTGGACCCGCCGAATGAAAAGATAATTTGGTAGATCATGGAGGAGAGGGATGATCGATGATCGAAACATGATTCGACAGGAGGAACAAAGGGAAAATGACAAAAAGATTGAAGAGTAAGTATGTTTTGTTAAGGATGTACTCAAATAAGCAACCAGATTCTCGATTACAAACATAGTTTGCTTTGCTTCACAGGAGAAGATAGATTTTAAAAATAGAGATAGAAATTTACCGCAAATGTTGTTGTGGGACTTGACCAGGAGCACCAGGAGGAGCAACTTGACTCCTAGCAGTTTCAGGGAACTGTTTCTCCATTTCGAAATGTTGATCTTCTACTGTGCCACTTCCACCATCTTGAGCACCGCGTGGTTGTTGATTTTCAAAACTCTGGAAACCAGTTCCACTCCCAAAAGAAGCCTCTTGTTGTTGCTGTTGTTGAGTTTGTTGGGAAAAACCGTTCATCACTTCATCTTCGAACAGACTCAAGTCAATCAAAGGTGCAACCGATGGAATCGGGGCCAAAACTGAGGCTGGCAATTTGGAAACTGTGCCTTGATTCTTGATCGCTTCGTCTCGTAAATAATTCCAAGCTTGTTCTCGACCCATCAATCGTTCTCTTTCCCTGTGTTAATGATGCCAAACGGTTGTCTCAGTTCCCGTTCGCATGAGATGATAGAGTAGTCTAATTGACAGACCTTTGTCTAGATTCCCGATATTGATCCGTACATTCTTCGAATAGAGGAGGATTCATATCCATGAATAACTTCAAAGCATTATAAACCAGTTGATGGATTTGGCTATACATCCCCAGATGAAGATCACATTCAGCAAGACTCCTGGATGACTCAAGGCATAGGAATAACGAGAAAACGAACCGGCTCCAATGCATTTTGGAATTTGTGTACAATGAATCAAAGACCAATGGAAGAACAGTCTGGACGTTTTCCGAGATCAAGTTCACGATGTATTCATTATTCCAATAATATAGTGCTCGTTCTGCCACCTGTTTCGATCAATCCATCAGTATCCAACCAACCCTATTTGAACAGATGACTCGCAAGCAGGTGAGAAAAACTTTACCTGAAAATGTTGACTGTTGACGCATCTTGAAAGTTGTTTGAATAGTGGAACTGAAATCTTTTGAAATTCAATTGGATCGATCACATCTGTTCCGAAACCAATGTTAGGATCCGAAAGCGGACATGCGAGAAAATAAAGACCAGGGAGCAATTCTTACCCAAGACTTCTTCAACTTCGTTCAAGTACATAACTTCCTTCGGTGAGTTAACCTTGGGCCAGTATCTCAACAAGCCAATAACAACTTCTTCCGTCAAGCTAGGATCTTTCTCTAAGAACTGAACCACACAATAGGCCAACTGAGGATGATAAAGCGCGAGTCCCTTAACCTTGTGTAATGGTATGAGCACCCTGGTCAAAAACGTCTTATGCTCTTCCTTCAATGGCAATGCAAAACCATTGATAATTGATCCCAAAATTTCTAACAGTTCAGCAATCCCGTTGTGTCGTTCCGTTTCGTAGATGAAGCCGTAGAACACGTTGTTGATCGAACGTCGAATAAAGGCACGTAAATTAAGAAACTTTCCATAGATGCGATGTAAAGTTGTCTTCAAGAAATCTCGCTCCCTTGGGTCTTCACTATCAAATAATTCCAAGAGCTTCGAAGGCAGTACATCAGCTTAGTTATCCTCAGGACAAGAAAAAGCAGAGGTCACTAACATTGAGGACAAATTGTTGATCGATGAATCGTTTGGCAACATTCGTATTGAAGTCGGGGCTTTCAACAAATCTGAGAAAGAACTCGTAGACAATTTGTAAATGAGGCCACGCGAGCTCCAAGACAGGTTCATCTTCTTCTGGATCATAGGCATCACCTGTAGGATTGACAGGAGGCGGAATCGATCGGAAGAGGTTCGATCCAAACATTGCGACCACTTCTGGATAAATAGCATCTGTAATGACTCCTCTTTGAGTAGTGATCCATTCCAACATCTCATGTAAAGCTGCTGCCTTGATTTGTTTCGAATTGAGTTGAGTAGATGCGTCGTTAAAGTCAAATACGACAGAGCATTGGTGAAGTTTTTGAATGAATAGCGCGTGCGTCTCTTGCGGGGCGACATCTATATAAATATGATAGGACGACAATCAACAAGGTGGACATGAGATCAATGGAAGCTCTAACACATACCCTGAAAGGAAGGTAAACGTTCGAGTTCAACCTTCTCAGTCACATGAAACCGACTACTTCTTTGTTTACGTGGGGTCTTCGCGATCGGTATCGTATCTTTAACTCCAGGTGGCACGATAGGTACAGCTCCTGGTTTGCCTTGTAATTTCCCAATCGGACCCGATTTGGGCGGTGTCTGAGGTGGACCTCCACCTACACCAAAGCCAGGCTGCATAGACCGATTGTTTAGTGTGATATGAGCCCCGGCGGTAGGATGATGTGGTAAGGCTGAAGGATGTGGAAGTGGGTCGCTTGGCATGACGGCCTGTACAAAGGCGCGCTTGAATCATAAGGGAGGTGGATAAGAGATAAAGGTTGAAGTTCGATCGAGCGATTAGTATAGGTCGGGAATCAAGGTAAAGGTCAGAAGATCGGAAGCGATATCAAGGGTGAAAGGCGAGGCAGGGAAGAGCTCAAGATGGTGGCTTGTCGAGTATTTGATGAGCTAGAGATAGAAAGGAGATGATCGGAATGGAAGCGGAAAACTCACGTTATCGCCACTGACGAAAATGCCAGGAACGTTGTTGGGAGAAGAATTGGGGAGTTGTGGATTGTAACCGGGTGGATGGTTTGGTGAAGCAGCTTGAGATGGATACTGGAGTTGCTGCTGCTGCTGTTGCTGTTGTTGTTGTTGTTGAGTGGCAGAAGATGATGATGATGAGGAACGACTGAAAAGACCAGCAGCTCGACCGATACCACCACCGCTGTTAGATTGATTTCCAGCTGTACCATTTTGAACAGGTAAACCGGTTGAAGGGGCAATAGAACCAGCTGAGGATAAGTTTGTTTGAGAAGAAGCCGGTGAAAGAGCAGGAGAGGTAGCATCATAAGGACCCTTATCCTTTGATCGACCAAGAGACTGATTATTAGACTGATTATTATCTTTATCTTTGCGTGATAGCTTAAATCGAAAGGGAAATCGAAGATGGTTTTGAAGTTAGTATCAATCAATGAAGTTATAAATTCAGAATGAAAAAGATGAATGACTATACCATTTTCCCTAACATTCCTTTCTTCATCTTGAGATGTTAAGATGTTGAATGAGATTGAAAGGAAAGTGACTTGATTTGTTGGATTGATAAGAGATTGAAGTAAGACAGTAGTAGGTAATCAAGTTCTTTCTGTTCTTTCTTTCTTTCTCTTTACCTTCACTACTTTACTCTTTCTCTCTTCTACATTCAATCTTCTCTCTCTAAAGTTTAGTTCACAAGTGCTTAAGCTTGTACAAACAAACACTACATACATATGTAATCAATAGACATACACCCCATTCTCCATCACTTCATCACCCGGTACAGTCAAACCCGCGCACATGCATACCCGCGCACATGCATAACCAGCGAAAATGCATACTATGACCCAGGACTACAACCAAGGAGAAGATCGCAGACATATATGAGGATCACATACATATCAAGACACGCACAAAAGTTGTGAATTCAAGCAGAGATGCAGGATAATTCCCAATTAATTAAAAGTTGGGAATAAACTTACACAGGCTTGTGTTGCATAGAACACGTGTGTCCGGCAAATCAACATAAACAGGGAAGGAGGTCTCTGATACATAGCCAAAGACACTACCACAGTGCACTGCCCCGCTTGAATTACCAGAACAAAGAAGTCACTTTAAGGTTTGCTTTATGAGGTCAATGTCACTATAGATATCAGGGCAAGCTCCAGGCCCACAATCAATGGTTGATGCCAAGCTAGAGTTGAAAGTTGAGAGAAATTCATATCTTCTAGGGAAGTGTAGGATAAAAAGTGAATTGACCCCGCTTGAATTACCAGAACAAAGAAGTCACTTTAAGGTTTGCTTTATGAGGTCAATGTCACTATAGATATCAGGGCAAGCTCCAGCCCCACAATCAATGGTTGATGCCAAGCTAGAGTTGAAAGTTGAGAGAAATTCATATCTTCTAGGGAAGTGTAGGATAAAAAGTGAATTGAACATGTACCTGGTGAAGTCTCAAAGGCACTGAGACAGGCTTCATCTTATAACACCATATGACATGATCTGTCAACCAAAGGAGCTGGCTTTTCATGACTGGTATATCAGAGGGATCCCATTTATACTGGAATGTGGTGACAACAAAACTAATGCAAATCACCTGTTGACTCTTTGAAATCAAAACTCTGGAGAAAGATCACACCCAAATATGAAGAAATGTATCTGAAGCTTCAAGTCCTTTCTGGAGTTGTTCTGATAATCAGGCTTACATAATGAACAAGCTTGACTTCAAATGGACCAAATTTTTTACTTTGCAAAACATTGATTGTTTTTACATCCTTGTTCCTTTTTAAGTAGTCTGATACCTATTGAGCTTCCACAGAGGTCCACCCCTGCAAACCTGATAAGTTGGTTCCTGTTTTGACCCATAGTCCTGAACTGGCTCAAATCACATATTTCCATTGTAGAAGAAGGCAGAAATTTTACAAGCAGTTCAAATCCTGTGAAATTTAATTCTGTGGGAGCTCAGAGTCAAAATTTACTTGTACAGATCAATGCCTTTTGTAGCAGTATGCCCAAGTCCTGGGAATTATATACCATTATATCATAATTTAGCATAAAAAATTTCTTTAGCACAGATTCAGTGAGGAAAATCAAAGCAAAAATGAACAGAGTGGGGACAAGAGTTTGGAAAAGGGGTAGGTCTTTCTTAGACAAAGTGAGGTAACAACTTTGACAAGAGCATGAAAATTTGACAAGAGTTGATGTAAACAAAGATAATCAAGTATTTGAGAAACCTGGCTGTGAAATTCAACAAACCTATTTGAAAAATAGGTTATCTTTTGACAATCTCTGCTTATATGTTGCAAAAAAATCATAGAGCCATAAAAGTGCAGGATCAAGAGATTGGGACCACAAAAAGATTCAAAATTATGACTGAGCCATTCATGAAGTGTCTCATTTTTCACCTATTTCAAAAAATTGTGAATTATATGAATCATTTTCTTATTAAAAACCAAATCTTATTCTGTTGATTTAGATTTTACGTGGATTTTATCCCCTCCAAACAGAAAATCAGGTCATTACATTGGCTCTATAGGATTCATTTGATTATAGTGACATCAAATTGTTTATCTTCCTGCCTAGTTTCTCCGCCTTACACTCTGTCAAAGGAGCAAGGAAGATAATTGGTGTGCTCATAATATGGCAAAATATGTCAAGAAACTATTTCAAGTGACAGGCTTTCAATATATCCCTGGAAATGATGCTGGAGATGACCAATAATTGTTCACCTTTACTGGTCTCTAGTCTCAAGTGTTTCACTTAAGGCTTGTTCACTCTAGCAAATTTTAGTCAGTATTCTGCTGAGTAAAGTGTCGGTTTGCTGGAGTATGGTGAATTTTTGCATTTAGATTTACGGAATGCCTGTTCTGATCAGAATGTGCTTGATTGAATGTGCCCTTGTGTTACTGATTTGAGTGGTATTGACATTGTTGAGTGTGCTGTTTACAGTGTTTTCCAAAATCAATGTTCCTTCTGTTGTTTTTGATTATTTTTTTGCATATCTGCCATTAATTTATATGATGCTTGTCTGGGTTATTTATCCAAATTGGGATCAGAAATGGAGCTCATACAGGCTCAAACCTGCTCAAGTATTGGCATCAAGGGTTGAAGCTGGCATCAGGAAAGCAAGGTGATTCACCCTCAGAGTCAGGCCATGTCATCCATCATTTCTGTTCACATGGTGGGCATGGATTTTGAGTTTTTCAAAGGCACACCTTTAGTGGGGGTGCTGCTGAGGTGTGCCACTGAGGTGTTAAACTCTTCCAATCAGCAAAAAAAAGGTAAAAAAATATTCAACAACATAAAAAATAGCATCTTTTGTATTTCATATCTGCCCAATGTAGCCTTCAATTAGTGCTGACATTGAGCCTGGCAGTGGTTTGTTGATGTATTTGATTCAGCAGACATCAAGAATTCCATCCTTTGCTTTACAAATTGAATGGTGGGATTGATCCACTTGGCTCAGGCTGACTTCAAGAAGGAGGGTTTGATCTTTGGCATGGCATGGAAGTATTCTACGGCTGGAACTGGCTGAGATTGAGGATGTGTATTAAGTTCAGCACTTTGAGATGTGACTTAGCAAATTTATTGATGCTAAAAAAAAATTTTCACCCCTAATCACACAGCGACTGGGAGGAATAGATCTCAACCTAACATGGGCACACCAACCACAAAATTGTGACTAAAAGAAGGGCAGGCCTTTTGCGCCCCACCCACCACATGAATCTCTGTGCTTTTCCCACCAGATTGAGAACCATGGATATGAAAAATGAAATTTGAAAATGACAGCAGGAAAATTTTATTTTTGAAACATACGTACCTGGATCGTATGTGAAGCTGATGTGCCCCTATGTGGGAAATGTGTGCCCTTTGGGGATGCTAACTGAACCAAGTCCCTCCTCAATTGCAGAGATCTCCGGAGCATGTGAAGGAGGGACTTATGATTTCCACATGGAACCCTGTGTGATAAGAATACCAAAATCCAATTTTCTGACTGTTCTGGAGTCTATATCCTTTAAAGACTCCAACATCCACTCTTTCAAGAATTCTGAGTTGGCCAGAATACTCTCCTTCATCTTGTACAAATAACTCACATGAAAGTGCACATCATCCATAGAAAGAAGTTGGTTTGGAATGCATTCCCAAGAATGTAACTTGAAAGCCTCAATCACATGGCTGTGGAGAAAATTGGCTCCCATGAACTGATCCAACATAACTGGACATGGATTTATACAGCCAATTTCAGAATGTTTTGTTTGAAAAGTGCACCATGGTGCAAAACTCCAAGGTTGTTTCTCTGCTCATTTTGAGAATACAAAGAATACAAAACCTGTACACAGGGTCCAATTCTTTTACTCACAACATTTTAGCAAAGGACTCATACATGTTTGGTATCAAGATAGGTATTACTTGTACTGAGTATTTGTTGATTGACTTGGCTCAACTTCAACAAGGTGTAAAGAGTGTGTTCCAAAGTTGTGCAAAGCGTAGGCTGGAACCAAACAAACAACAATCTCAACACAATCTTGGAAAACACTTTGCTAACACGTCGTGAGTGTAAAATTTGGACCCTGTGGAAAGAACACTTCTGGGTTGATTTTGACCACTGCAGAAACGCAAATCTTTTGAAAAAAGAAATCAATCATTCCCTAATTGTATGTAGTTGCAGCAGATTTGTGTGTAAATATCTCAATTTATTAAATAATAAATTCACTGATTCTTGAATTCTGGAGCATTCCAGGAAAATCTGAAGAGTGCAAAAGGAAAAATTTGCCTTTCATATCTCCTAAGGCTTTGGGGTGGCTTGTGTCAAGGTAGTTTAAGATGTGCACTAGGGCCAGGATCTGAGCATCCAGACTCCTGGTCCTTGCACAGTGTGAGTGTATTCATCACAAGGCCCATGTTGTGGACACGTCCTTTTTCACACAGATGCGCCCAGGCACAAAAACGCTCCATTGGACGGGCGCAGGTGCCACTGGGCCGCATCAGGCACACCCTTTGCCCCCAAAAAAGTAGAAACAAGTAAAAAATCTTCTGCACCAGCAGAGGCCAGTATTACAGTACCTGAAGATACATGGTTGCCAATAAAAGAATTCTAGTCATCATTTGCAAGGTAGATTGCAAGAGATATCATGATCCAAGGAAGTTGACTGCGGCTCTAAGACTATACACAAGAAACTCTTACAGTGACTTGCTTACATCTTTTTGACAAGACATGTCTTTCAAGTGACAACAGCTCAGAGTGAGGTAGACTAGGACCCCGGAGAGCTCCCGTAGAGGTGTGTGATGTAAAAGATTTTGTTTTCTTATGTTTGCTGTGAATTGCTGTGTATTTCACAGCCTCTACACCATGTTAAAAAATCTTCACAATTGTGTATGTAAATATGAATTTCACACTTAACAAAGTGCTTTGCTCCTGGCTAGGTATTGGTAAGGGAGGAGCAAGGGATTTGGTCAAGTTTTCATGAATGTAAACTGTGGTGAAGTGTGTGTAGTGTAGGATTTTTGTACATCATGCACCTCAATAAGAGCTCTCCAGGGTCCTAGCAGACTGTTAGACCAATATCTCAATACCATGATGAAGCACACTCCTCAGACTCAGAGTCCTCCTGAAGCATTTCTGATGGAGGTACGTTGGGTGACTGAACTGACAAAAACCCGCGGACTAGGCGCGCCCCAGCATATTTTGAAGCTTTGAGGCGCTACCAGGCGCGCCCACAACATGTGACAAGGGCCGGTTTGATCGTCTTTGATGAAGTCATCCGCTTACACATGCAAGTTATGTATCCTTCAGCTTTTTTGTCAACAACTTTTCATCGTTTTCATCTTTCCTTTGGGGCAATTGATGTTGACCATCATCATAACTAGTCAACATGCCATCAGTCGAGCTTCCTCACGAGGTCTGGATAAATATTCTATCCTTCCTCAAGGATTTTTTATCACTCTATAATTTTGCGCAAACCTCGAGTGGAAATTATCAATTTGTTGAATCATCTAGCAACCTTTTGCATTATTTCATTTCGGCTAATATCCGTCTCATCGAACCTCGTACCTTTAGCTCCGCTTCAACTGTGTATCCTTCCAAGTCGCAAGGAGATGATGAAAAATCCAAGCAAGAGACTGAACTCGCGCATCTCCTCTCGAAAGCTATCTTTAACCAGATGACCATGATGAAGTCATGTTTTGAAGATGTCAAGACCTGGAAAGACTTTGGTATGCCATAAATCGACTGTCTTTTTGAAAAGCGAAGGGGTTCGTATCTGACGCCGGGGTGAACAATCTCAATCCTTCGAAGCAAAAACTCGTAAACGTATTGAAGATAATTGGCGTTCGGGGAATGGCTGCTGGAGAACGATCATAAGACCCACCAACCTTCTAGGTTTGAGCCTAGTTTGGAGATTTAAATTCGATCCTGAATTCAATTATTGGGCAGCCGTAGATTTGCCAGGGATCATCGAAGTCATTTCCCCGATCGCGCCTGGCCACTACAGGAGGTTGAGGATACTGCCAGGACGTGCTGAACGGTAAGTAGGTAGTGGGGCTTGTATGTGGCAGTTTTGACAAGAATTGTCTCTTCTAGCTCTACCCATCTCGAAAGCTCTGGTCCATTCATCGTCACTAACTGTCACCGCCATCGATTTCAAGTTTGGAAACGCATCGAAGGCGCTTTCGACAGCGCTGTTCCAGCTCAAGACGAGCCATGGCCATATGCTCGAATAGCATACCAAGGAATGCAACAAGACGGAGAAGCCAGTCTCATAGTCGAAGAGCGTGACAGCTCTCCAATATTCACATTTCACTGTTACCTCGATATGCCAATCCCAGCATTTTGTTTCAAGGCACGCGCGCCTTATCTCGCTGCAGGATCTTATCTTGGTCAAAGTATATACGTATGGAATCTAGAGACGGGAAAACTAGTGGAAGAATACGACGGTGAGTGCCTGCGACTTTGCTACTCTGATCTTTCAAGCTCTACTCGGTGAATGCAAGTGATAATCGAATTTGTTTCTTCTGTCCTAGTAAGCGGCCGCGAATCCGACGACATGGTCAGTGTTTTTGACCGCAGGCATCCCACTAGTCAATCGAGATGCTGAAGTCCGATCGTCCATCCACTTGACAGACGTACATCGATTTCGACTCAAGGTTTATCTTCCTTGCGAGTTTACGGGACATTCACGTCTATGACAGGGTCACAAACCGATCCATTTACTCAATACCACCTAGACCGGTGGAAAATCTGGAGTACTACGCTGACAAGATCCACGATCCGATCTGGTCGAATGTTACGGTATTATTGTCTCCGACTTTGAAAAAGCGAAAACAAGCCACCGTGCAACTCTATAGTTGTCTGTGCGAATGGGTCGCTGTACATTACGATCACCAAAATGGACACCTAGTGGCGCTTAGTCGGCAAGGGTTTTTGATTTGGACATCTAACTACAGTCAGACCTTGCTGACCAAGAACTCAGTGTCAAACCGAGACAACTTTGTCGTCTTGTACGGTGACGGAGGAGGCACCAACCTGTGTGTCGAAAATGGACGCGCAGTTTTCAGTAGCAGTTTTTTCACCTCCGATGGTGTCAGATTCGAAAGTCTTTATGCTTTAGAGCTGACAAACTGGTCGGACCATACAAGCTTTATCGCCTCCACGCCAAGGCTGACTAATCTAGTTAAGATAGTCCCTTCTGTGGTACCAATCTCCCGCCTCGAGATGGACTCCTGTGCAATTTACGCTACGGTCTGCGACGCACGTTCTAACCCCGAACTGTGTGAAGCATGGCAAACCTTACAGTACGATCATAACAGTATCTACCCATTGCTATCTAAACTAACTTGGATGGACTTGGACGGAAAAGAATTACACACAGATGAGCGACTATATCCAATCGATCATATCCTTCCAATTTCACTGGAGGAGTTTGAACGTTGTTGGGATCTTTGGGAACATGAACAAATTGCTATAGTAGAAGAGCAACCCACTGCTATCCTTGCTTACTCTCTTCTACCCACAGAAGACCTGATTTAATTACAATGACGCTGGAAGATGAGATCAATGCTTGTGTAAGCGCTCTTTCGTCTCTCAATTGCACCTCTTTCATCCTTTTCAATTTTACAATAAGCTAAAACTCTTAGAAAAGGCTGATACGAAGCAATATAGATTTGATGTTGTTGGTGTACAAGGCAAGACTTGCAATCATACTTCTGGGCGCGAACCCTTGAGTATTGGTCATATCAGACATCACTATAGTTGTTACTGGACTGACATGGATTTGTAGACGCTCCACTCAAGGTTGAAAATGAAAGTGTGTGTGGCCAGGCTTTTGGTACAAGATTACCGGTTTGGGATGGCTCTTGGCATGCTTTATATGATACGACAGGGGCACGCAGATCCTCATGGATGTGGTCGGATGCACCATTCGATAAGTCTGATCAGGATTGTGCTGTTAATGTTGATCTGAACCGAACAATTAGACATGATGATCATTATTATCATTTGGATGGTCACATTTTGTTATTATCAGTTATCCAATCATCTATCAACATTGTAAATGTTTTGCATGGTCTAGGCAAGGCATCAGCTTGGAGACATGCTTGTGGACTAAGTTGCAAACAGTAGTATTGAGACGATCCAATACATTTCTATTCTCCTGATTGAGTCACACGTGCACCTCCTCTTGACCTCCTCTTGTTTGATGTCATGGATTGAGTTGTTTGTGGATATGTAAAATAGATATGTCCATTCCAATCAACATTGAAGGCAAAGCACCTTGTCCGGAATATTCAATGAAGAAGGCTGAAGTCGTGGATGGGGTTTCAATTTGACTATTATCATCAAAAGTCATGATGGTTATTGTTATATCATTTGTTGCATTTGTTACATTTTTCAAGTGGAGTTTCAGGAAAGCCTTAGGCTGAATCAACTGAAGATCTTATAGAATGTCAGGATATATAGTAGATTGGACATCCACCTATTGGATTATCAAAGGAACAGGCGTAAGCTCTTAGCTATGTACACCACATAACATTATCTGCAAACAGAAGGAACTGGCATTTTATGGTCCTGGGACCAGTAGATCAAAAGGATTTATATTGGGATTGGGATGTGGAGGAAATGCAACTAATGCACAACAACCTGTGGACTTTCAAGATAGCACACAATACAAATATTGGATCACATCCAACATGAAACAACAGCCCCACCTCTCCTGGAAATATTCTGATAATCAGGTTGACCTAAAGCTAAATATCTTTTCAAAGGCACCAAATTTTCTTCATTGCAAAAAACAATTGATCTACATCCTTTCCCTTTTTAATTATACCAACATTTTTTGCACTATTTCCTTTCTCTGAATGACTATCAACTACAATAATCATATACCAGTAGATCAGAATTTAAAAGTCAGTGAAGATTTATTGAGAAAAACCAGTGCAAAAATCAGAATGGGGATGAGATATTAGAAATGGGGTGGGTATTTTTTGTGTTTGGGAATATCTAATGTTATTGATTTCAGTTCTATTAGCATTTTTGCCAAGGAGAGTCTGAAGGTGAAGAGTGAATTTCTCAATAATGACCTCTAATGCTAGTCATCACTGGATGGTATGTGAAGCTGATCCGCACCTTCAACTTGTGTGCCCTTTTGAGATGCACACTGGGGCCAAGGTGGGCAATGGTCTGTTATTTTAGACTCTTGGTCCTTGTAGATTCAATTGCAAAAAGAATGAAATTTTGATAAAAAAAATAAAGGACATGTGGTTCATGTGCACAATGGATGCAGGTGTAATCCTGAAAGCCATGTCCTGCCAAAGTTCTTGTGTCCATAATCACACAATACCATGAATTCTGATACAGGTTGTACAGGATTCAGCCCTGAGAAATGAAATACTTGGTCCACCAATCACATCCACCTCATTGACTGCAACCCATCACCCCTTCCAATCCTCTGTCTACAACTCTGACCTCTGGAAATCCTCTACCTCAAATGAGCTTTCAATTGTACTTGGAAGGCATCAAACTGTGGCTACTCAGATGTCCCTGGACAGCAACAATCTCAACTTGGTCAATGCAATGTTAAAATTTCACTATCATTGGTTTCACTTTTGCACTGGAAACAGTTGTACAGCCAAACCGACTTGGTAACCCCTGATCCTAAAGGCTGAGCCTACAAGACCCGTGTCTGCCCACATGCCTTATTGGACCAACTTCTTGCAGTCCTCTATGGAATTGTCACCCGCAATCCCTCACTTCACCTTGACAAAATCCAACAAATCATTGGTTGACATGGAGAGATTCCAATTTGTAAACCACCATCTGTCACAAGTTACACCAGTGTTTAGGACTAGCACATCTTGTCTCTTGTGGTGCTCATTCTGCACAGTCAATCAAAGACCAGACAGCTTACATAAGGAGGGTGGGAAATATCCCAGCTGAATATTTTGTTTTCATTGGTTTGTCTATCTATTTCTCTCTCCCTTTTGTTTTTGTCACACATTCACTGATATTTGGTTTTGGCTTTTCAATAATGTGAGTTTGTTACTGGTTGTGTCAAACAATCTCTTAGTGCTAGGAATGGCACAGGATAAGAGGGCTTCTTTCTGGAGGATGCCTTGGTCATCTCAAATTCAATGTCTTTTGGTAGATACAAAGTGAACACCACACTAAGCTGTTGTATTGGGCTATTGTCAGTTGGTTGTTTCACAATTACAGAGAACCCAGGAACACATTTCTGTGAAACATTCAATTACAAAAGATCCAAAACAGGATATACCTGATGAATTGGTTGGGGTCTCTTGAGCTATGAAATCTGCTTGCTTAACAACATCAGATCAACCTTGTTGCTTTTTTAGCTTGATTGTTGAACAATAGAAATGGACAAACACAAAACATCATCTGGAAATATACAAGGGAAGTTTGAGAAGGTAATATACCTGAGGGTTTTGCAAGGGTCTCACTGCCAACATAAACACCTTGGGTTGAGAAATCTGAGGCATCATCAGAGGCAAATCCTTGGACAGACCTTGTTCAAGGTTTTTATCTGAGGTATTCTTCTGCACTGAGGATCATCTTGGATCAAAACCTTGGAAAGCTTCTGTCCAAGGTTTGGATTCCAAGAATACCTTGGATGGAAAAATCTGAGGTAAATATGTTGTGGGTGTCTCTTGCATCACTTCACGGTACTCTGGCTTGCTGGAGGACACGAAATTAATCTCCCACTTATTGTTGCTGACATTGACCTCAGCCAATATCACATTGGGCCAGTTAGAGCACCCACTATGGTTGCGGTAAAGAGGTGATTTATCGTAACTTTACCGCTAAATTACACACAGGTCCACTATGGGCCTGTTTTACACTTGCGGTCCCTACAACTGCGTCAAATTTTGCATCGCGCTTGTTCAAATCTACAAAAGCTTAAAACTTGATTTATTGTAGGATTTGACGCATCCAATCGGTCAACTGCCAGCCAATGATCCATCTGCATCCATCCAGCTCTGCACACCATCACTCAACATCTTCCCTGTCCCCTCAAAATCTCGGCTTGTTAAGAGTAGCTGTTTACTCTGAACTTGCTAAAAAGAAGCTTTTTTTTTGAAAGAAAAGTGATCTCGCGTGATCGATCTAACCAAGATCAAACAAGAGGTGAGAAAGCTTGTTGGCTTATTTCTCTTTGTCAACAACTGAAGATTTCATTCTGGTTCTTTCTGGTGACCAAGGTGGTCATCAGCATAGAATTGCGCTGGGTGAGGTGTGGTAAGATACTATACTTCATTTCATGATTTTGCCATAGTGTGTAGAGTATCTTAAGAATGCATTATCGTAGTTGAACCCTGTGTTACATCATCCCATAGTGGATTTCATGCGGTTAATAACTTTGGTAAAACACACATGATTAATTTTTGCGCTCAGGAACGCTAAATTTGCGATAAATCACCCTCATGATAGTGGGTGCTCTTATAGTGTGGCACCAGAGCTAAGACATCATCAGTCTTGTTGGGGTAAGAAGATCAGACATCTTCACAACTGGTTCTTCTAGCCAGGTTGAGAATCTCATTGGTTTGCCTTTCTGGCAAGGAATTTGCAATTGCACAGAAACATTGGGCCCAATTCTTGTTGTTTTCAAGAGATGGGTTTATCAGACCAATGCACACATGTCTGCAGTGATTGTGGTGTGACTGCAGTTGTGTGTG